CTATTAAAACACTAAGCGCCATCAAGAAGTCTCTTTGCTCGCCAATGCAAGGTTCTTCGGCGACGTTAAATTAGCAAAACCATCCCCCGCAATTCGAAATTCAAAGCTGCAGCAGCATTCCCTCCCTTCCCGACGCAATTTATCCCGTTTTCTCTCGGTCAATTACCGAATTACCGCCACTTCAACTCTGCCTCCGCAGAATTCTGATTCTCTTTCTCACGGTTCGCCGATGACCGATCGAATTAGCATACGAGGGGATTTAAAATTGCCCGAAAGCCCCGCGCGCTCGTACCGGGCTCCTTTTAACGCGAATAATTTCATATTCCCGGGTTCGGCGAACTCGATTAACGCGAGAACGTGATTCGCGTTAAATCAATCTCACTCGAAGATTACGCTCGCGTGACGCGCACACGCGACCCACGAAAATTCATCAGCCGATATCACCGCGATTTCCTCTATTTACACCGTCAATATTTAATTGTACGCGGGATTACGCGGCGCGGTTATTAAAACGAACGTTTGCCTTCGCGTAGCTTCGGGCTCTTCTAATCGGCCCAGCGGTGAAATAATATCACGGGAGCGTGTGACGAAAGTGTCGTCTGAAAGTAGAATCGTTCGATTATCAGTTCATTTTTTAAATATTGCTCCAATTTTTTGAAGGAGATTTCCATTTGGAGGGATTTAAAGACGGATTCCGCTGTTCGTATTTTTTTAGGGGTTCGAGTTTGCGTATTTTCGAGGCAAAATTGCTTCTTTTTTATTGCATTTTCTTAGAGTGTAATATTTTGAAAATGTCTTGCTGAAATTCTACTCGTGAAATCGGCGAAATGACAAAGTTGCAGTGATTTGAAGGAAGCAATGCACAGCTAGAAACGTTAAATATAGCAAAACTGTATTTTCTCGAATCGTGAATCATTGCAGCCACTCAGAATGACACTCTGCAGAAAATACGCAATAACTTCAATGACAATTCCGATAATTTCGTAAAAATTACACAGTGTCTTCTTGAAATATACCAAAACGTGTATGATCTCTAACGAACCTCCGCAAATTTCCTGAAAAATCTCCTTCAACATCGTCAATCTTTGCAGTCGCAAAGGTAGAAGACTCTCGTGCATAAATTTTCCCCCGCACACTCTTCAAAAATTATTATTATACACATAAATCCAATTTCTTCGAATTGTATCAAATTTAATCGAGATCTGGTTGCACCTTTTCCACACGTTAGTTCGATTCCCCGTTCTCTTCGCTCATCTCAGCCGAAGTGGAGAGCTCGAAACGCCGGAAACGAGGAACAAGGAGCTGGATAACGTTTCACGTTCGCGGCATTTAATTTCGCAAATATTTGCGGTGCCCCTTGGTCGTAAATTGCGGAGTCCACAAAGTTTCGAATTAAAGTACGCTTCCTTGCCAGGCGTTGAGCTTCATTAAACGGTTAATTACACGGTGGACAAGGGATTAAAGCGCGGAACAACGAGAGAAGCGAAAAGAAAATGGAAAGAAACTGCGATAAAAGTTCGGAAACGACGAAACTAAGAGCAACATCTCTTACGCATTTCCCTGGTAAACATTCTTCGCGTAGCAATCGAACACGATCGAGAGAAAAACGACAAGAGGCAGGCTGCGTTTTATTGGATTTCGACGTCGTCGAGACGATTATTACTTTCAGCTGAACCACAATTTTTCCCATTGAGTGAGAACGGCGTTGAAAGTTTCCGTGGAGGACAAGGAGAAGAAATATTTTGTGTGTGTGTGTCTTTTGCAGGTCGGCCAGGCCCTTGCCATGAGATGTCGTTGCAGAACTCCAGGCTTCGACATTACAGGTCGAATAGTCAGACCAGATACATTGCCACTTTTGACAACCGTTTTTTCACAGTTTTATTATACGCTGATTGATACGGGGTTAGACACGCGGCTACACTTTCCTTTTTCAACTTTTTATCTATCTCTCTCTGTCTCTTTCACTCTTTGTATCTCTTTCTTTCTGTTTAGTTCGTTATCTAGTTTCTTGATGATTATGTACAGGGTGTGACATGGTCCGGGTGATTTCTTGGGGAAAGTTAAGGTGGAAATGTACGGAACTTGACGAATTGTCGAAATCTTTGGACGTCTACTTAAGTATGATTCCGTTTCTTTGTTCGAAGGAAATAGATGAACAAATGAAAATGTAAAATACTGTCCTTTTATTGCTGTTATTAGTGTTAAAAAGTGAATAGAGAACTATGTCAGGTGACATTCATACTAAATAATTTTTATTCGAGCAATTTTCTTCTTACTTTCATGCTTCTGGGGACATTCAAAGTGGTGATTATTATTGGTCCACTGTGTATATTGAAAATTGCGATATTCAAACAGATCCTGATTTAATTTCTAGCAATTAAAAGTGTTCAGAAAGAAATTCGCTGAATTTACGAAAATTGCAAAAATTTTCATTACACAACAATTTGTCACAATTTCTTGTAACAATTATTCTCACTTAACACGGTATATTTTTTAAATTCGATAATTGCGGAAAGAAGTACTTTCGTAATCTGTCTCAGTATACTGTATACTTTCCAAGGAAATTTGAACGAACTTGAAAATTTGACGAGAAGAAATTCCCGTGAAAAATCGACGGAACATTCGTAGAAATTTCACGTAGAGTATCCCGTTTGCAGGGAACTTGCGAAACATTTTCAGAATACGCATAACATGCTTACAGAGAGTTTGTAGAACGCTCGTAGAATACTTATAGAAAGCTTGACTTACAGCAAATTGAAACAGAACAGCAACAGAGCGCTCCTCTTACGAACTTTGTGAAAGAGAAACTTTCAACTTTGTCGCGCAGTGAACTCGATATAGAAACAATCTATAACGTTCGAAGATTTTTTCAATTCAATTGAACAACTAACAGCATCGGAAGATCAAATCTTTCCAACAGTTTAACATCCATTTTACTGTATATTTAACTGGTTCCGAGGATTGTACTTCACAAATAAATCAAATTGTTTCAGAATCAGATGATTGAAATAATACATTTTTGTTTTTAACCGAATTGTCTTTTTTATATAATTTTCGAATATGAAAAGAAACAAAATTTGAAGCTATTTAAAACACACAAGTTAACATTAAATTTTCTCAGAGAAAATAAATTTCCAAAGTTTTCTTTTGCACCGATGAACTCTTCACTTAAAACCAATGAATTTTCATTTGAGACATCTGTTTTTTAAGGTATTAGAACCAACTAAAATTAGTTTTTATGGCGCGCTCAGTACAGACCCGCCGAAAGTTATAAATTTCGGGAACTTTTGCGTTGTAAGTACAATTTCAGAGAGTAATTATGCAAACAAATAAAAATACTAATTTTCCTTCAAACGTTTCCAAATATTTCCCGAAAAAATATCGCCCAAAATCGAAAATCATACTTACGTACACGCTTGAAGTTCGACAATTCTCGACACGGTTCGATTCACAAAGCCGTTCCACATTTGCAACTTACTTCGCCCCGAAGAATCATTTTATCCACATCGGCACTTGTCACGTGCCCTGTACAAAGACTACATACACGAGTACACATGTACATAAACGATATATTTCATTTTCGCTGCATCCACGCTTTTGGAATGACGCTGGTCGCCCGAACACCAGCTCTTTAGCCACACACGTACTTACGCCACTGTGCCTTTGTATTTGTCGGAGTTTAGCGATGATTTTGCGGCGTGTTCTGAGCGTTGTTACAGCCGAGGAGTATTTCTGAAAAGCCAGGAGGAACGTGTCGGATACGGAAAAAAGTCCTGGCTTCGACGCGCTCCTACCTCTGATTTCCGCTTTCTGCTTACGAACTGTTGTCAGTTACGGCGTGAACAGTATCTTGTAGAAGTATTGTTTGTTGATCAGTAAGTATGTTGATTGTGCAGGAAGTTAATGAAAACGTGAAACAGACGATTGGAAACGAGGACTGTGCGAGATGAAACGGAGGATAAAGAATGTTCCGTTTTCTCTGAAAATTAGTATTGTTTCTAGTAGTAGTAGTAGCGGAAATTTTTACTTGTTAATCCGGAATGTTTTCTTCAAAGCGGTGGAAGTGTCGTTGACAAATTTTATTTAAGGGAGTGCACCACCCAGACAATTTTAAAAAATCGAATTTCTTTTTTCTTTTATGTTTTCCTGAAGTTTCAAGTGTGTAGAGTATTGTGTCGAAATTCAAACGCCTCAAATTCTGAGGTTTTAGGATCTGAAAGGGAGAGAAAGAAGAGTTTGGGTAATAGTGAATAACTCCGCCATTTTGGAACATTTTCACTTTTTAAAAATTGGAAAATAAACTTAAAACTAACATTTATGTCCTCTGAAGAGATCTAAATTTTGCGCTTAATAATTATCTATGAAAAAAATTCCTAAACATTAGCTGCCTTTAGACGCCTCTGGGTGGTGTACCCCTTTAAATAATTCGAAATTTTGGGAATAATCTCATGGAAAAATTAAAACAGAAATAACAGAGAAAGTATCTCGTGTGAACAAAAAAATTTACAAAAATTGCAACTTTATATTTCAAGAAATGGGGCAAAAAATATATTAAACGAAGAAAGTACATATCTTGTAAATTTATATTTCGATCATGCAATTATACCGTGAATGACGAGAAAAAGGTGAGAGGGAGATTTTATACGACAGAAATTCTATTAACCTCCTGCGCAAACTTTGACAGTAGTATCGTGAACGCAGTAGTGTGCTCGAAAGTGAACTCGATTATGCTTCATCTTCGTCCGTCCTCCCTTCTCGTTGCGGAAGAGTGCGACTCGTGATTAGTTAAGCATGAAAATGATCCTAGAAGATCTACGTAGAGGATAACTAAGAGAACCACGACTTCGATCGAGTGTCACTTTACAAACGTTCTGTTGGCATGGCCTGGATTCACGTAATTCTATCGTTAAAACGTTGCACCCTTTCACCTTGAGTTATCTTCAAATTCGACGAGAGAAAAAACGACGGTGGCTCAGTGTTGTTTTTTCGATTGCAGGACCATGACAGCGATCTGCTTCGTGTGTAACCTGCCGATCCTGAGTCATCAGGTCGGCCTGATATGGCAGGGGGGGAAAGGGGGGGGGGGGTTTTTGTATTTGATGAGGGAACAGGTTGAGGAGTCTACTTGGAAGCAACGACTCGGTAGGTGCATTGATATTTCTTAAGTTACAGAAAATTCGTGTTAAATATGTACTTAAAGTTTGAGTTGAAAATTTAAGAAGCTTAAGATTTGCAAAGTTTAAAATTTAAGTAATTTAAGATTTGCAAAATTTAAAATTTAAGAAGCTTAAGATTTGCGAAATTTAAAACTTAAGAAGCTTAAAATTTGCGAAATTTAAAATTTAAGAAACGTAAGATTTGCAAAATTTAAAATCTCAGAAACTTAAAATTTATGAAGCTTAAGATTTGCAAAGTTTAAAATTTAAGTAATTTAAGATTTGCAAAATTTAAAATTTAAGAAACGTAAGATTTGCAAAATTTAAAATCTCAGAAACTTAAAATTTATGAAGCTTAAGATTTGCAAAGTTTAAAATTTAAGTAATTTAAGATTTGCAAAATTTAAAATTTCAGAAACTTAAAATTTGCAAAATTTAAAACGCAAGTAGGTTTAAATATTTTAAACATCACATTGGCCTTAGAAAGAGAGCGAAATTTATAGAAAATACGAAATCACTATCTGTCGATGTCTGAAGAAAAATGCAATTACCTCTACCTTCCTCAGGAACCGGAAGACGTACCTCCGCGACGCAAATCACATCCACATCCCCGCCGAATGAGCCACAGGAACCTACGACGAATCAACCTCGTCGACGTTCCAGCTTGTCCCTTACGGATGTTCGAAACAAGCTGTGCCGTCGTGAAACGCTTGCAGACATCGCGAAATCATTGCCGTGGTCCAGACAAACATGGTCCAGACGAGAAAGCTCAGTCGACAGCGGGATTAAGAGTCAAGCGTCGACGAAATCGACCGGTACCACGATCAGCAACTTTAAAAATGACATTTCTAGGCTATGGGGAAGGAAGGATACGACGCTGCAGCCTCAACCGTCTCCTACAGTCATTTCTCCATCTGAGAGAGGTGCGTTGGGAAAATAGAACTTTCTTTAATAGAATCTTGCGAGAAATTTGAAGATTTGTATCACCCATGAGTAGATTTTTTCATATTTTACTGTTTAGAACATTATATTCTATAAAGTATCGTAATGGAAATACACTTCCAGCCAAAATTTTGGAATTACTTCGTAATTTACTTCAAGATTCAATCTGCTAACTCTTTACAGATTTAAAATTAATGTCCCAGAGATCAATAGCAATTTCACAAAAGTTGCCTACTACAAAGAAAGCCACAATATGACAGAGATAATTTGTTTGCAGCTAAAGGGAACAGTTGAAGATTTCTAAGTCACCTCTATTTTTTATATAGCATAATTTACAAAAATTCAACCGTGTCAGTAGACGATTTCGCTTCACTTCAGACCTAACAATATCTCCATCACTTTCCAGTGTCAAGCGACTCAAAGAGCTCTCGACGCGGTTCCGGCGAAAGCGGAAGAACCAAGAGTCCGGGCGAACGGCAGCATACTTGCAGTCATCACAGGCGCAGACAATCGCAACAGTCTGCGGACAGTGCCAGCGGCGTGATGCTCGCAAAATATTACAGTAGCGATCAAAGGCCAAGTGCTTCCAGCACTGATAGCGCGGCCAGCAATGCTGTCAGGTACATAACGGCGGTCAAACAATCGGATTTAAGCCTGTGATTTCGATTGAACGCGGAATTGTCTTTGACGGAGCTGTTACTCCAGGAGGGAATTTAATTGCCTCGTTGCCACAGACTTGAAGCAAATGATTTGCTTCGGATGGGGTCCCTGATAGAGGATTCGTACATGAATCGAGTTCATTTAGAAATTTCATTTAGGAATATCGATTATGGACGATTTACTTTATTCTTGTCTGCTCGATTATAGCAGTAAGCTTTGAGCTGACATAAATTTCTATTCAATCAGACACTCTTGTAACTTTACTTGAAAACAGTAACTCTTTCTCAAGCTTAGAAAAACAGCTGAAAATTTTTAGAAGAACTTGAGTATATTAGTCTTCACCAACTCTGCAATTTTGTAATATTCATACTTTTCAAAAATTGGAGAAAGAAGCTAAAAGTTACGTTTATATCCTCCAAAAAATGGAAGCTCTTCGTGCAGTAGTTACCTATGAAAAAAATTCTGAAGTATGGTGAATCTTCTTAAACTACACAACTTCCCTTCGTGTAACGAAGTAATCTTTTTTAGGGAACACTTGGAGACGCGCAACTCCATGGACAGAAGCGACCGATCGAGCAGTATCGAGACAAAATCCCAGCCTACGGTGGACAAAGTTCTGACGCCCACGACGACGACGACTACGTCAGTGGTTGACGGCAAGGTGCCTGTGACGAGCACCGAGGTGAAGACGTTCACCACGACGACGGTTTCATGGACTACCACGACGGTCACGACGTCGACTACATTGACCATAGACACGAAGACCGTGTCCGAGATGAAGAACCTAACTCTAGACGCGTCCATCACTCCCCCTACCATCGTGATGTCATCGGTGACACCGCCAAGTGTCTCGCCGACTGCCAGTAGGACACTTGCATTGCCCGGAACCTCGACTTCCGGCAGCTCTAGCCCCGTTGGATCACCTAACGTCAGCACACCGACGCATCCTCTGCTCGCTACCAGAAGAGATTCTACCACTCAGGTACGATTATAAGGGATTTTGGTGCATTTTGGCGGTTCGAAGAACGATTCACAGCGATTTCGAGAATTTGAATTTGAGAATTGTGAAAATGTAGTTTAGAAACTTTGGATTTGAGAATTGTGAAAATGTAAGTTAGAAAATTTGGATTTGAGAATTGTGAGAATGTAAGTTAGGTAATTTGGAGTATTGTTTCTTGAAAATATGTATAATAGCAAATTTCAAGAATAAGTGTAAGGATAGTGCAGTGGTTGAGTCGTACTACTTGCTCCAGCTTCCAGTAGTGTAGTTACAGCAATGTGGAATTTAAAGATCATGGATCCTGTTGAATTTCTTTAACACGGAGTAAGAAAACAATTTCTTTAAGCAGAGAAAATAATTGTGCTCTACGTATCAATTGCGAAATAATTTCAGTAGTAATAGGTTGTGTATAGCCAGGCACGACGAAATTTTCATCTATATTCTCAGAATACCAAAATTATCATTATCGTTGTTAGTTAGTTGTGCATCTTATGTTACTAAAATAAAATTACAAAATAAAGCAGCAAACTTTGCAAATGCAAAATGCAATTAAAAAAAAACTGAAATAAACGTAGAAAGCACAATTTGGAAAATATCATTTAAGCAGTATATATGAAGTAAAGTAGTAGCAGCAAGTGTTTGGTCAGACACGAAGTTACCCAAAGCAGAAACAGCAAACAAGTAGGAGATATTCTATCAGTAAATTATCGATTCTGTTGCAGTGTTATCAGAAAGAGAAGGAGGCTTCCCCGAACAAATTGTCGAGATTAAAACGGCAATCAGCTACCGTAGACGAGTCGACGCCACCCGCACGACGACGTGGAAGTCAGCCGACACTGTCACCGAATCCCGAAGAAAGGGGTAGAGGTAATTACTCTCACCTACAATTAACAACTATATTCTTCACCTTCTAAATCTACCAATGTAACTCCAAATATAAATATGAAAAATTACAGATCTTTGACAAAATTGTATCTATAGTTTGTACACGACATTTCATTTCAACACTTTCAAATCATTCTATCTTCCACCTTCTGCTCACATATCTCATTTCCTCTATTTTATGTTCCTGCCGTTCGTAAGATTCTTCCTTTCTTTCTTTCCCCTGAATGTGTAGTGTAAGGCACGATGTGAGAATTATTAAGAAACAATTTTTTTTGGGGATGTTCGAAGAACGGATAGCCCGTAGGGACTCGCTGAGTCCCGATTCCGCCTCGTATCCGCGACGCCGCGACTCGAGGAGCCATCTGAGCCCGGACAGGGCGGCCGATAAAAGGGATATCAGTCCTATCAGGGAGAGATCTCAACTAGCGCGGCAGTCAATCTCGATGAGTGGTCGGTCGCCACCGAGGTACCTACATTTTATCGATTTCCACGGCGCGGTATCTGCTGGTAATGTCGCTCCAACGATAGAAAGCACTATGGCTGTGCGATTGGCCGATGAAGTTCAAGCGCATGCTTTTGAAAATTTTAGGTTTTTAATTTGAAAATAGAAATACTTCACTCTTCTTTCATAGCTTTCTTTCTTTTTCTTTGTAATTTTTTTTTAAATTCGTGAGTTAAAGAATTTTTTATTTTGAATGCTATGGATTTCAGTTCAAGTGTGATAGAGTAAATTTAAATAAAAATTCTTTAGCTGGAATAGTTGTTATATATTTTTGTTTCTCTTCACGGCTGACTAGATTTTATTATCAGAGACGTAATAAGTCACATGGAAAGTATTAACTATGTCCTCTACCCCTTTTTTTACAAATTTCACTAATTTTTGAAATAATTGCATATTTCAAATTATTAAAAATTCTTTATTATACTGTCGATCAACTTTTGTCTTTTCGAAGGATTTTTTCAATGATACAGTAAATACACAGGATGTCCATAAAATCTCGATCCATTTTAGCGAATATCGTTGATATTTTCGAAACAAGCTTTATTCAATTACTGAGCACACTTAGCAAAAGTAAATTAATACAATTAAACACGACCTCCTTGCATTTCAAAGCACTGCTGCTGCTATTTAAACGTAGATCGAGAAACTGTCCGCAACATGTCCGGTCTTATTTTCTATCGTCGTTCTAATCCGATTTTTCAGGTTTCAAAGGTCATTCACCTTATTTCTGTACACCTTAGATTCGATGAATCCCCAAGCGGTGCCCAAAATCTTTGCGATCCTCGGCCTATCTATCTGTTGAAACACGACAGTGTCAAAAATTCCATCAAAATATATTTTCGTTAAAATGGATCGAGACTTTATGGACACCCTGTATTTTCAAGAACTACTGTAAGTTGTACCACCTTACCATCCTTTTACAATCAAAGAAAAAATAAACACGTTCTTTTTTTAAAAGATTTCTTTCTCTCGAGTATATATCCACGTTTCTTCTTTGTCTCTCAAATTTGTCGCTTCGAAAACGACAGAATTGAACAGAGATTGCGTGTTGCAGATCACCGGATGGCTCTTCATGTTCCTCGAGAGACCCAAGCCCGTGTGCTTGTACAGGAGAGGGCATGCCAGCACCGATAATAACACAATCGACCACGAAAGAAATCTTGATCGCACGTGGTTTTCGACGACAGAGCACCACGGAGGAAATGATGAGATGTCGAAATTTTCGAAGGCAGAGCTCTCAAAGTGAAGAGGCGGTCAGTTTCTTACGAATATTAAACACACCACAGTTACGATTTTCGTTAAGAAACATTCAGGTACATTCGACTCATCATATTCCGATGGTACTGTTTCTAAACGTTTCTTCTTCTTTTGCTGCTCATTAGGTTCAAAGATATCGAGGTAGAAGAGATAGTTCTGCTCAAATCACCGATGGAACCTTAGCCACGATGACTGTCGAAATATCGAACACCTTTTTCGACAGCAGCACGCAAACTGGTGAGTTGTGAATTTCGTGATCATTTATTGTATACAGGGTGAGCATGTGTGAAACGAGCCATCTAATTATCTTCTTAGCTATGGTGGTAGAACGTTTTTATGTGTAATTTAAATGGCTTCAAAAATTTTTCTCCTCTTCTTAAAGTCACCTATGTTTTCTTCTACTGTATTTTTTTTTTCTGTAATATTTTAAATCAATTGTGAAACTTTGTTTCACTTTTTCCCATTTTGTTCATTAAAAAAGTTTTTCTTCCATCTTAGACACCCTTTGGAACCATTTAAATTACTCACAAAACTGTTCTCGTACCATCGTAGTTAGAGAAAATAATTAGGTCGCCTGTTTTATGCAGTCCACTCTGTATACAAATCATAGTTCCAAACACTGCAGCGCAAAATAAAAGTATTTCTATTCTGCATCTCGAAAACACAAAGAATCCTTTTATACACACGTCTAATTCGTTTCATATTTCCCGCTGCATTCTAAGTAGTATTGCCTGTATATAGTCAGACGCACGCGCTCCACTTGAAGCTCGTTATTAGCTCCATTAAACGAAGAATTAATTTTTCTTTTCGATAAATAAAGCACTTCATAATTCAGTGAAAAAGTAAAGCATAATTGTATTATCCATGAGTTAATGACTATCAACATTTCATTTCAATTTCACACTCATCCTTCGGTAGAACTTTCATTATCTGAAGAATAGGTGTATTTATGTTTGCATAAATCCGACGAACGAAAGTGTACTAACTAACCACACTCTCATTCTCCGCAATTCTCTATATTCCCCACAAATTTTCGCACCGACGCACGACAAAAATTAATTCCCGAATTAAAACGCCCACTAAGAAAAAAAAAAAAAAGAAAGAAAAATTCTTATCCACCTAAAAATCGTCGCACACAGAATTTCTCCATTTCCTCGACGCTGAATCTTCCATCATCACCAGCGCAATTCCCAAAGATATTAGAATTAATAAAAAAACCCACGAAAGGCCTGAAGAAGTTCACGAAGCCATCACCGTCCCTCTAATCCAATCAAATTCCGCGCCCTCGAGATGCCTCGAGTCGGCCTCGAATCGAATCACGGCATGCGCGCCCTGGTAACGCGTCCTGCCGGCGTCGCGACGCCGTGCAGCGTCTCCGTGGACGCAGGCGTGTTGTCATCGCTCCTAGTTCCCACGGTGTGACACTTGGGTGCATGACAGTCGATAGCCAGCCGAAGAGGAAACCAGCCTCGAAGAGCTTGCCGAGCGTGTGCGTGGTTCTTCTCGCGTCGAGACGCGTTTCCTGGCGTATCCTGTCCTTCCGTAGGAACCACAGTCATCCTCGTCACGACTGGACACGAGGAACGAGCTGTGTGCTCTCAGTAATCACGACGCCTACTAGACCTCTCTGATCACGGATCGGCTTGTTGTCTTGATCGACGATCGAACCAGTGTGTTCCTACAGGATCGACGTTGCTTGGATCAGACTTGTACGGACGTGAGAGAAAGAAACCAACATCGTGAACATCCTCCTCCGAACAGTGTGCGTTTCTCTCCCCCCCCCCCCCGGAAAAAGTGTCTCGTGTTGACAGTTCTCCTCCTTCGTTCCATCTACCCCGAGGATCACCTGTTTCTCTCTGAAACATGTTTACCTGCACGACGAGTCTACTACCGTGAACAACAGCCTGTCTATCTCGCAAGCAGCGAAATCCCTCTAGAGGATCCAGCTGTTCTAATTCGCCCGTACGACGGAGCTTTGATTTTCCATTAGGACGACATGGGTGGTGCCCATCGAGCAATGATCGAAGGATCGTCGCTACGTGGATCGATCGAACTATAGGACACCTCGAAGCATGTCCAACCGCAGGACTCGCCCTTGCCAGCGTGTCCTTGGTAAACCAGCTACCACCGAGCCAGTGTCTGACCAGTGACAGGACGCAACCACTTGTGGCGGTGTGTGACGGATATCGGTTTGTCACGAGTAGTTGGATGCCGGCCAGAAACTTGGTGTGCATATTCGTCTGGCCATTCATCTCCTCGACGTCTGCGTGAATTTTCATGGATCTTCGATGATCTCGAATTTAGTCGTCGGAGCTGTTGTTGTGCGCGCGTTTCACGGATGTTTGCCTCGCGTTCGCGGTGTGTTCGTGTGACATGTGACACGGAAGGAGGCTAAGTGTGTGGTGTTAGTGTGATGGGAAAAAGGACTCGTCGCGTTGACGAAGGATTCTGTCTGACCAGCGACGGGATGAGGTTGCCGCCTTTCGTCGAGCTGACGCTTCGTCGGAGGTAGGACGTTTCGTAGTGTCGTGTCTGTACCATTTTTTACATCTCACTTTGTTCGTGTTTTCTTTTTTTTCTTTTGGAATTATTTCGGTAGTATTTTCTCTGTGTTTCGTGTCGTTAGGAGGAAGAAACGTAGGGTGAATATTATTAGGAGAAAAATGCGGCGTATGTAGGTTCGTAACGCGGATTTTACGAGGCCCGTGGTTAGCCGAGCGAAGAAACGGCGCTCGTTAGAACGCTTTTATTGTTCAGTCATGTCCGAGCTTTGCCTCCCGCGTTCAAACTCGTCCTGGCGACCATGTGCATTATAATCGCGGGAATCAGTCCGCTTCGTGACTTTTATGGATCACCGTGATCGGTGTTGGACGCGTTTATCGCGCGATCTTTCGCTCGCAAATTTTCCTTTGACTCGGTTCCAAGAGATTTTTCAGCGTGTAGGTTGGTTGTTTCTTGCTGGGGTTAATTGGGAGACGCGGTTTGTGAAAAGTTCGGATAACGATAGATTGCGGCGAAGGTTTTTATTGTACGAGAGTAGGAGTTAGGGTTGTTGTAGATACGAGAAAGATTTTATTAACACGCCACGTATGTGTGACACGACAATTTTTATGATAGATCGCGGTTATTTATGTGTGATACGTTATGCAAAACGTATAATTTGCGTATTTGATATATGGTAGATGTGCATAAGTGCAGGTATGAATTGGTACTGAAGAAGAAAAATTGGTGAAAATGTACACTCGGTGGAAAAAGTGAAGATTTGAGTCAGTAAAACAAAATTTGAAATTTAGCATATCTGTCATTTATTAAAATTTTGAATTTCACAATATCTAATTTTCACGATTCTGAAATTATACGTAAAATTATACTCAAATATCTAAATGGAAAATTCTCTATTAAAAGTTGAATTACAATTATTCCTTAATCGCGAATTTTCTAACAATTTACACATGAACAGAATACTTATAATGCAAGCAAAAATAATACGGAAGATAGTGGACGATGCTTCGCTAGATTTGTAAAAAATATCATTTTTCAAGTGTAATTATCAATGTATTTGTCAAATTATTAATTAAATTTCTGCTTTGTAGGATAATAAAAAGCAGGCGATTTTAGAAGTGTGAACTGCAACGTTCCCGATTGTTTAATTAGCGCTGACGAACCAGTCGAAGCATAAACTTTGCAATTTATTCTGCAAAAGCGAGTTTCTTGGTCATTAAATGTCGTAGAAGAGAAGAGTAATTACCGTTTGATGTTTCGTTTTATGCACTTCTCGTGTTATTGCAACTGATCTGTCTTGTTAGCTACAGCGTTAACTTTGCTGGAGTACTTTTTTCCAATTTCTTCGATGTGAAAACACATTTTTTATCGTTATAAACGCGGAGAGAAAATCCTCTTCATATTTCCTCTCATTTGAAATCGTTTTGCAAATATTACTCGATTAATATCACTGTTAAAAATATGTTCCACCGTCGTATTCATATTAATTATAATTGTACGTTTAATAGTAATAGAAATATTAATAGAAATATTATGCGATAATAAAGAAACTTGAGTTTTTATTTTACGTATGATCAATGATCGTACTAAAAGTAATATATTCCATTATAATAATTCCAATTATAAACATTACTCTTTTCCTTTGATAAAAACAAGGCTTTTTAACATATAAAACAACAAAGGAAGCTACCCTTCGTATAATACATTTGTACTTATCATTTCATTATCATACTCGACTTATCTCATTTCTTTAATATTACAGTTTAAATTGCAGTCACATGTTCATCGATTCTATTCAATTATATCGAGCAGCCACTGTAACCGAGCTCCTACTTTTGCTTACACTTCGATATCAATAATGCATATGAAATATCGTCCCTTGGGATATAATATTATAAATAATGCATTCGAAAATACGCTAGTTTGTCTTCCTGGAACATTCTTCGATCTCGAAACTGTTAAACAAAGTCACAATAATAATCGCGGAGAATAAAAAAAATAGTGAAATTAAAAAATAGTCTCACTTGCCTCCAAAAAAGCTCTTATCAAAATTACGCAAATAATCCAGTGTTACGTTAAAATCGCATTTCATTGAATTTCAATCAATAATTGCCTCGCTAATTGCAAACGTGCAAGAATTATCCACAAACCGAGGCAAAGAAAAATTGTCCTCCCTCAAAAAGCAAGAAGAAATCGCCGTTATACGACGATTAATGCCTAATTGTCTCCAAATTTCCAACTTTTCGCCGCACTACCATCACCTTCGAATTATCCATCAATTCTCCGCTATTCTGTGATTTCCGCGATTTCGTTAAATCGCACGGAAAGCAGTCGCCGTAACCGTTCACGTTTATCGGGCTCGTTTTACACGGTTGACCGACAAAAGGAGAAACTCAGTTCGTTACACGTGACGACGAGGGGAAGATGTTTCTCGCGTTCTCCGCCAGCGAGATGCCGCTCGTTATGAGAAAAAAAAAAAATAAAGGAGACGAAAGTTAGAGTAACTCGGCGCCGGAAGTCGTTACAACGCTTGCTTCTGCCGCCTCCCTGTTGCGCCAGCCTCGATTTTTCATTTTCCAACTCGCTGATACTCGCCCGCCGTGATTATCGTCGGATGAAGATTCTTCCTCCCTTCTCCGCGAGATTTTTCCTGAAAAGTTCGTCAACTACCCGCTCGTTGTCTTCTTGTCCTTCCTACTTTGTCGCGACTACACAAGGATTTTGACAATGAGTTT